GTCTAAATTACTACAGCCGATTCATCGAAGATTACGCTATCTATGCCTCGGTCCTCTACGAACTACGTGAAGTGGAGTTTGCAGAACTGGAGAAACGATCAGATCTGAGGGAGATCTTGGACCGGAATGACCCGATCCCTCGAGATCACGACCCACCGGAGCTGAAGTTGACGGCACCAGTGAACGAGAAATGGCTCAAGGCACATAGGGCCTTCATCTCCCTAAAAACCAAGATCGCGACTAGCCCAGTCCTCCACAATTTCGACGAGACGAGAACACCGGTAGTTATCGTATATGTCAGTGATTGGGCGATATCCGCTTCGTTGACGCAAGAAAAGACGGGATCTACCATCCGGTAGCGTTCGCCAGTCGCACCTTGAAAACGAACGAGTTGAATTACAATGTGACTGAAAAGGAGGCGTTGGCGTTGCTGAGGATCTTGGATCGCTATTACAATTTGCTAGTAGGACGCGAGATCCGGGTCCTGACGAGGCAATCTACGTTGGTCTGGCTGTTCAAGTCTACGGGATTGCAGGGTCGCCTGGGACAATGATCTGCCCTCCTGACCCCATGGACAAGTGCACGAAGGGTGAAGATGAGATACTGGGGGCGATCACTGCTAGCATCACGCCGAGGGCGAATATCGACGATGCTTTGACCGAGATCGCTCCCCGGAAAGAACCTAAACGCCGGATCCGAACGCCAATACCCACCGTGGATCGAGACGAGGAACTATGGGTGATCAGTTTTGACGGATCCGCCCGAGTTAAGCGTGGAGGGGTGCGTTCAGTGCGATCGTATGGCAGTTTGCCCGGATGGGAGGTAGTCAAAGCCGGATCGGGCTATCATGAGAGCCTCACCTTGAACGAAGCAGAATATAACGGCCTGATCCTGGGACTCGACATGCTAGAGGACCTAGATCACAGACGCCTGGTGATCTGCGGGGATTCTAACCTGGTGATCCGACAAGTACGGGGTGAGATCAACTGCAAAGCACCTGGACTGACGCTATTGAACCCTCGATCGCCTGGGGAAATGGAGTGATCATGAGTTGGTGCATGTCAAAAGGGACTGGAACGGAAGTGCCGACAGTCTGACGAGCGCCGCTTTGCAACGACAAGGGGGGATCGAAGTCCAGGAGGCACCCGGGTACCAGGATCTGGTTACCCTGAACCGGTTAGACGAAATCTTGATCCCTAAGACCGAGAATCCAGTGGTACGAGTTGCCGCGGTGACTACTCGAGCTGGTCGAGCAAGATCACCAGCGGGTGTCATGCAAGAGGATCTGATCCGGGAAATCCGAGTCAATCGGATCAAGCAGGCCCAAGAGGAAGAAGTCTGGATCGACGTCATGAAGAAGTACCTGAGTGGTTCGATCGCGGATCTCACCCAAGCGGAAGCAAGATCGTATGGCACAATCGCGGCTGACTACGAGGTAGACGAGCAGGATCTACTCTTCTACTGCCCCTCTGCGCCAAGATCGGGGGGTGATCGCGATCGGTTGCTGAGATTGGTCGTTCCCGAAACGCTACAATCGGATGTCTTACATCACTATCGCACTACGTTGGAAGGAGGACATCAGGAAGTGGGACGTACTTATCAGCAGATCAGGGATCACTTCCACTGGAGAGGACTATATCGGATCGTCCGGCGATATGTGGGGAATGCGTGGACTGTGAAACAGGGAAAGGAAGACCGGTGATCCGGGGTGAATCACCGGGGAACTTGCAGGCGACGTACCCGTTGCAGACAATTGCGATGGATCACATACCGTCGCTGCCTAGATCCCACAAGGGAAATACTGAGTTGGTGATCTTGATGCCCCTGGTCGTCTGGGCCCTCGAACTCTGGTTGATCCTGATGCTCCTGGTCGTCTGGACCCTCGAACTCTAGCTGATCTTGGTGTTCCTGCCCTTCCGAACCCTCG